ATCTGAATGCGAATGAATCCGATTTCGGGGAAGAAATACGCGTGCATCGATCGATATATTCCATCTCGTTGCGTCGAAAATGGTTTTCCGTTCCGCTGCCCTTCGAAAACCCGCCGCGCGCTGCCGTTTCGTATTTATCTCGAAGCGAAAAGCCGGATGGAGAACGGATAAACGTGCATCCGCAAGCTGCATAAGCTACATAATTTCTGCGCACGGTTTCGCTGTAATCCGCAGTTATCTTCTAGTTTGTTTGCTCTAATCCGCTTCTGAATTCGTAAGTGGTGTGCGAAAGGCGGGGCTCGCAGCGTTCGGTGGGTAAACAGATATTTCCACGAGCAATTGGTGATCGTTTAATCGTACCTATCTCTCCTCCTCGCAACTAGAAGCAACTGTTACAGAACTATTTACGATTTCAACCGGAAACGCGTGTTTCCGCCCGGCGAGCTTCCGATTGCAGTTTCCTCTGCATTTTTGAGCTATTACGAAACCGGCATGCATTTACATTAACTGAAAACGCAGGACAATATATCAGAATGAAAAAAAAAGTATTAAGTTAATTAAATTTTAAACGTGATGTAAAATTTATTAACATAAAAAAAAATTCTATAGCATCGCACTTTGAATTTAATTAAGTTGTTACCTTTTAATTTTGGGTTATAAATCTCGTCAGAATCGCAACACTTACATTAAATAAAAATGCAGGACATATCAGAATAAAAAGAAACATTCAGTTAATTAAATTCTAAACGTGATAAAACATTTTTTTACCCGAAAAGAATTCTATAACGAAACACTTCGCGGGGATTTAATTAAGTCGTTACAAAAGTAAATACCTGAATACCTTAAGCAAACGCATACACTCTATGTGTTCCGATTTCAACGAGATAAGTAATACGGCCGGAATCGTGCTCAAAGTCCTTCCGGTCGGAAACTCGGTCTTTCCAATGAAAATCGTAAATAGTTACATAATAAATGCCCGCGGGTTGTAGCGCGGAGAGTAATTTCGCGGTGCAATCACATTCTCGTTAAACCATCGTTCATACAGACGCGCGCGCACACACACAGATATTCACTGCGAGATATTACCGTGCCTATATAATCGCCGAAAGTTTCGTTACGCGATCCCGCGGCGATAGCACTTTGCAGATAACGTGCCGGGGTAATTAACAAGGGCTCATGCACATCTGGAGGATACTTCGCGATAGGAAGGATGTGGCGTTAAATCACGCGGACTCGAGGATCGGGTTTAATTTCGCGATCCTCTGTACTGTGTGTAATCAAGCTCGGCGAGCACTGGCTTCGCCCGATCGCTCGAAACCGTATCGCACACACTCGGCGTTTCCGCGCCATTTCGCCTCGAGGTGGTGTTCCGGGGGGGAGCACGGAGCCCGCAGCCGTCGCCATCGCCAATTTCCACGTACGGTTCGTGATCGCGTACACGAAAGTAATCTTCGACTCGCGTTTATGACGGTCTCGCGTGGCGCATAATCTGGCGCGCGATGAAAGCCGCCCGGCGGCGAAATTTCGATCCGGCGCGATAACGACGCGGAATATTAATCGCCACACACATTTATCCGCGTAATAGACATTATCGTACAATTGATACCACATCGTCTTTAACGGAGCAAGGTTTCTCTCAAATTAGAAACAAGCGAGGCTTGATATAAGAAAAAAAAACACACACACGCGTATCTAGAATTCAAATGAACAAATAATGTTTAGTTTACGTCCTTAATTAGTTGAATTTATGCCACATTCGTCACGCGATGAAACTTTTTCTCCGCCAAATTAGCTCGCGCTTACGTCAGATGCTTGTTTCGCTCTAATGCTTCTACGTCGTGCCTTTCTGGCGATTAAGATTGCGGGCCGATATAGTGTCGGAAATTCTTTATGTGGCCTAAAGAAAAACGCTTTCTGGCGCGAGGGTAAATCTGAAGGTTGAGGTCATTCGGGACGATCGATACTTTTCCCTTCGCCTATGTGTGTAGCATCGAGGCGCGGGAAATCGATCTCGCGTGCGCCGCGACGAAGCGTGTTATCCCTTAACCCTTGATTTGCGTCACGTAGTCCTGATTACCCAGTCCTGACGTTATCCTAGATGTATGATTAAAAGTAATTGCTGGAAAAGCCCCCCAAGTAAATGTTCCATATGCAATCTCGGCGAAGGCGAGATAATCTCTTTGCGGCGCGAACGTATCGACTTGAAATATTAGGTCACCTCAAAAAGCCTTGCGTATTTTTCTATTCTATTGCACAAATAAAAGTACAAGAAAATCAACTTTTCCTCTTTCCTCATTACACTCTATTTGATTAAAAAAGATCCAAAAATCGAGGGCGAAACATCTTTTCACTCTATTATAATTTGTAATACTCTTTTGCGCTTTTGGTTCTCGCAGTCCTTTTTCTGTTGTTTTTTTCGTTCTTACAAAAACCATAGTGCTTAAATAACAATGATAGGTAAAATGGGCAGTAAGGCCGACGCGAGTTGTTCGTGCTGTGTTATTTGTATTTAACAAACTTACTTTGACATTTACAAACGTTTCGTTCGTTCCCTTTCGACCGTTCTCCGTGTATAAAACTTTCCTACCTAATGTACGTTATATATTGTAATTAAATTATTAACATCATTTTTCACGTCGCTGGCAACTTTTTGCTTTTATTTCCCTGGCGTTTCAGCGGACTTTGAATTAAAAATGACTTGGAGGGCGCAAGGACTCTCGAAATGACCTAACAGTTTCTATACATCGCCCGGAATATATCAGACAGAGAGACTCGCTGGCAAGATAACAATACGAAGCGAGGTACGAGAGCGGATTATACGTTTTGCTCCGCAATGCCGAGTTTCGGCGAATCGATCTTCGTCCGTCCGCGAAGCGTTAATCTACATCGGTGAGCTCCTTGCTCTCTCGCGAAAGCTTCCTTTCGGCTCGTTACCCGCGCATAATGCAAGCCCATACATCACAATGAAGGTGCTTCCGCATAAATTACCGCAACGACAATGAGAAAAGTGACGGGCTGTGTTATTCTATCGGCTGGCGTGGCTGTGACGGTAACGAATACGACACGGCAGCCCTACTTCTCGCGCGTTAATTTACGCCCGACCTCGAAAATAACAACAATTCATCGCGGCGATCGATCGCGTTCTAAATTAACGGATAATCATAACTGCAGAGGCGCGCACGAAAATTCAGCGCCAATTATCGTGGCAAACAACCGCGCAACGCAAATGTGTTTGTGTTTGTCACTTGCTCCGCGTTATTTTATTAATAATGTTAAACCAGACAATTAAAATTGTTTATAATCATGTCATTGCAGTATCAATTTTAAATCAATAACTGCACATGGTTTACACACTTTCGGGTAAAGCTTCCATGCATAAAATATGTGACATGGCATTCTAAAGTCAAGAGTTTGCGTATACGAGCTACATATTTAATGACGGATTCTCTGTTCAATTTGAAGTCCGTTTTGTTTAAGCAAAAATGTTGAGACATCGAGTGTCTGAATTAAATATCAACCATCGAGAAAGAAGAGTTTTCCGCAAGCTAAGCTTCAGAGGGACAAAAAAAAATAAAGTCATATTCTTTAGTTAATTTCAAGTGAATTACACTTTAATAGAATTTCAGTTAGAAGCTTAGCTGTAAAGATATATGACGTCGAAAACTGGGAGCGTGCCATAAATAATGACTCGACACTTTTGCTGGGGAAAAAATTGACTCCGGATTAATCAAGAGTCTGTTGCTAAAAGAAAATCCGCGAATTTTACGAAAGCCTGTATATGAGAAAATGTCCGGGGAAATCGAGAGGAAACTCAGCGAAAATTTTTGTCAAACATCGCGAAATCCCGGCGGTGGCGGCGAGTTCCGTTGTATCGTGCCAAAATAATCAAGGGTTAACCGCGTAAGTGGTGACGCATCTCCGCTGCATTCGATTGCGGATACGCCGTTTGAATCTAATAAAACCACAGCGAGTGTCGAGCTTTCTTCGAGCGAAAACAACGACGGTGAATCATCGCAATGCGGAGCGCCGGTCTTTTTTTTTTCTCCTGGCGGATTCCGATCGAGAGAAAAAAAAAAAAGAAGACGGACTTCTCGAAGTTGGCGACGAAGGTGACGTCAAGTCCTTCGCCGCATCCGAAACGCCCCTACTCGTAACAAAGTTTCGAATCCGATCGTGCACAGATCCGCCACCCCTTCGGCGCCGCCCCCCTCAGTATCGAATCTAGCACGGAAATTCAAATTCGCACGGAAACTTGAGCGTTTCTCCCGAGGCGAGACCGCCGATCGCGTTATCTCGCAACCTGAGAACTTTTGTCGTGACTAAAGTGCCCGCGCTCCGTGTTCCGCGTCAGAAACGAAAACGCATTAACCGTCCTTCTGTAATGGGACTTTATACACGCTCTTTTTCTTTTCATCGAGAAATGCTGAGTTTCGCGCTCGAGAAATTGGTTCGAGTCGCGGCGCGAAATTAAGGGCGTGTTCCCTTAAGTGCATCGTAAAGCACGCTATCGCGCAGTGATAACAATTCTAGAAATAATGTTGGAAAAGTTATCGTCGCTTTTACATCGAGAGATAAAAAATATCCGCTTTATTTTATCTTTATCTTTCAGATAAAGTGGCAATGATTATTCGCTTGATAAAAAACAAAACATGTACGTTTCAACATGCATGATTCATCCTCATTTCCATTTCTTTTCTCCTCCATTTTGCGCCACAGAAGTAATTTTTTAACAAAAATAATAATGTTATAAATTAGATGAAAAAAAAAGAGGTGAAATTTCGTTCTTCAGTCATTGCGAAAGTTGAGTGCACAAAGATCACGTGATTCCGCAAACGACTTCCGAAAAGTGCGGCTTCTCCCAGATTCAGTTTCGGTGATCTCGCAAAGTTCGGCGACGTGTATGTTTGTTTAACGTTCGCTGTCACGAGTACATGAAGATATATGCCGCGAAAGAGTGCGCGCTCGCTACTTGCACGCAGCGGACGCAGTAGTAAACTTACGATTCAAACCGACGGCGGCTTCCATCTCTCTTCCGCGAAGAACTCTCGAATACTCTCGGCTCTGAGCACGATCGAGGCTTCCGGTGGCGCGAAAAGGGGGGATTATTCGTTTCCGGAAACGCGGGGAGACATACGGGGAGACGCGGGGGGAAGGAAAAGGAAATCTTACTACGCTGAAAATGTCACACTTGCAGGATCGGCGATTTTACGAGCGCGAGCTTACGATTCGGAGAATAGTTCTCGCGCGGGTGGAGGGGGGAGAAAAAGAGGGAAACAAGAGATCTGCGGGGACGATAAGATCTACGGGATGGATTTAGGTCGGGGCAAGGTGTGAGGCTCCGAAAGTAGGAAGGTGAGAGAGGCGGCGACACGAGTGCTCTCCCCCGTTGCACCTTCCGACAACACGGGGCGATTCCTACGAACGATTGGGTCCTGCTAAGGGTGGTCGTCGGGCTGACCGCCAGTGTGTCAAAGGCTCGCCGCGCGGCCAGCTGATCGGCACTCGCTCGCAGTTTCACCGTCGATAGGGACGCCGTCTCTATCGTGGACAACGCGGACGCGCACGTCGGCCGCGAGCATAATGCTCCCGCGTGCGTGAGCGCGAAAAGGGCGAGAGGGGCGGAAGGCAACGATTGGAAAAGGAAAACACGGGAAACCGGGGAGAGGGCGAGGGTGGCACGCCGCGGAGACACGCCGAGAAAAAACGGAGGCGAGATTCGGCTGTTGTTTCTCACAGACGGATGCGAGAGAGCCGATGCGACGCGCTCGCGCGGACTCACGCCAGGCCACTGCATGCGATGCGATTACGCGGCCGGAGCCAACCCTCCGCGCCACGCCGCGCCAACCCCACCAGCGCGGGCCACGCCACCCTCCACTCGCTGACTCCCTTCGACTGGCGACCACGCCGTCGACCTACTCTCTCCTGTCGTTTCTCGAACGCGGCCACGCTGCTCTCGTCTTCGAAGCGTCGCGCTTGCTGGCAACACGCTGATCACGCGACTACGCTTGACCGCCATCCCCGGCGACGCGCCGATTGTGCCCGATTGTTTAGCGCACGGCACCAGCGCTTGTTCCGGCTTGTAACGCGCGTCGGTGCTCGAGAATCGATGCTAGAAAAAAAACGCGGCACCGCGCAATTTTGGAAAAGAGACCGAAGGGAAAAATTCGACAGCGCGAGACATTTGTTTACAAATATTTCTCATCGAGTGTATAAAACTGCTATATCTAGCACGAGCGATGTATCTCTATAATTTTGTTGGTTCAGCATGATTTGTCGACAAAGCTTAGTTAGTTATCTCATATATATCTCATAGAGTATCCTGCGTAAAGAAATATTTGCCGAATACATCTCTAATCCTTCGTTTACTCGCCCGATTTCACTGTTGTATAGCATGTAACGGTAGTTCATTTTTTCGAAAAAGATTGTGTATTATAAGTCTCTGTTTTAAAATCGAAATACATCTGTAGATGTAGCGCGGATTTTCCCGAACTAATGTCACAGTTTTAACAAAGAATTAACTTGTCAAATTCGATGAAAAAGTTTAGCTGATTCGTAAGATAAGCTGTGCAAAAAAAATATTCGCCGAATATCTTCAATTCTTCGTTTATCTTTCTCGGTTTCACAGATTGATTTAACACACAAGATTATTTGTTCTTTATTGTCTCGAAAAAATTGTCTATCTGAAAAAAAAAATTAAAAAATATAAGTTTCAAAGTTGAATAAAATCTGTAGGTGTAACGCGAACTATTTCAGGCTGATGCGAGTAAATATGTATGTCGCAATTCTCTACGCCCGGCTAACGGAGAATTAATGATTACACAACTACTTTTAAACACAGTTAGGTATTACTTTTTATCGTCGAAAATGCCACCCCGTCCATTTTACCGTAGCGAACAACAAATTCCGCTAACTCGGCGATATAAAAGGACACGAGGGACACGGGACGTGTCCTGAAAAGCACCGCGGTTCAACGAGGATACGTCGCCGATGGGAGATGCATCGTCAGGCACGTGACTGGGTTGGAATCGACATTTGCGAAAATCGAACAGTTGTCGGGGAGCATTGCCAAGCGATGTGTACGTCACACGAGTTCCATTCTCATGTCGCAGGATATTCCGGTAACATCCCGCGGCTCTTTCGCCGCGCGATGAATCTATTTTGCGAACGACCTCAGAACGGCGAGGTAAATTCGATGGAGATGCGAATGTCAATTTTTTTTTCTTCCCTTAGAACTTTTCTCGAGGGAGCGCTTCCCATCGAACGAGATGAAATTTTTCGAGCGGCAAGCAATTTCCGGCGATTGCGTTTCGTAGCATTAAAATTTCTTTCGGTCTTCGGCTTGCTTCGCCTTGCTTCGAATTTCCAGGCGCTATTCGCGATCAGTTAGCGAAGAAACAAAGGGTAAACGAAACTTTCAACGTAACTCGACATCTTAACGTTAATTACTTGAAAGCTGCGTCATTACGCCATTAACTTCCCCGATGCTGGATTCCCGCGGAATGACGTCGGTTTCTTTTGTACCGCACGATAGAGCGCTCCGCGGGTGAGAAATGCCAGGTACGAGGATGCATTTCGCTCTTCTTGCGGAAAACAAAAAGGACTCCCGCTAAGTAGGGCGACACGAGCTCGCTAAATCTCGGCTGCCAACTTGTAACCGTATAAAACGAGGGGAAATAAATCGGTATATTTGAGATAATATAAGATACACGCGGTTGTATGCGCAGTGTACATATATAATCAAAAAATTCCGATTCTCCTGCCAGGATGAGTATATAGAGTGAAGGATCATGGAATAAAACGCGGAAAGATAAAAGCTTCTTATAGCCGAAATCTTATCTCCGCTTGAGTTATGTTCAACTGACTCAGATCGTTCCAAATTTTCGAAATTAGCTTTCGGAATATTAGAGACAAAACGCGCTGCACAGCGAACTTTCGTCTCCGACGAAATTACATGCGCGATATAATTAAGATACAAACATCATGTATGCGATATAATTTTGTCCGGAGAAGACATATTTTTATAGACGTATTTACGGCGATATTTTTGACGACCGATTAAACTGTCATAATCGACAGCGGAAGAGCGTTTTATAATTCCCATTTCTTATTTTTATCTCCTTTAAACCTGTCGGGATTCTCTCTCGCGATTTCAATCTTTCGACAACTTCCATTTCCATATCGGGACTCGAAAATAACTCGATTGTAGAACGCTACGCCTCGACGAGTCCGACGACGGAGATGGAGTAATTTCGCTGACATTTCGCGTCCGGAAAACGACGGAGTAATTTCGCGGGCGGCCGTTAAAAACGTTCGATTCCGATGTTACGTGGAAGCGCGAGGCCGGCCCGGAGAAACATCGTTCAAGCACACCGGGATATTGGTTTCGGACCAATTCGCCGCCGGAAATTGGATGCCCTGCATTTTTTCCGATAATTGCAACTGGTGCCTCGTCAAGCAACGTCGAAACTACCTAGTCAACGCGGAAGAATCGGCGACGTCACTGTCGCGTTCCCGTTGTAATGTTAATTCTCGACGATGTTAACCATCGCCGACGCTTCCGTGATATCGGATACACGGAGAGATAACACAGTGCCCTCAATTAAGGGCTCGTGTCACAGCATACAAATACATATGATTGCCGCGAATGCGCGGCACGTTATCTCCACGCCGGAGTTAATTACCTTTGCTTAATTGCGGAGCTATTTAATAGCGAAATCGGAAGGCCGAAATTGAAATTCCGACTTCTTCATCACTAACTTTCTTCTCCCGCCGCTTGAATATTTTTATTCAAAATCCCACGACGTTTATACAAGTTCTGACTTTTTTTTCCGTATTCTAATGAGATAATTAAATCACCGTGTAAAGAATAATTGGTTTCTAAACGTCTTCGATTTTTCTTCGAAGTCTTTCGGAAGTTCCCTCACGATTCTTTCGACGATAATTCCGTGGGAGCGACACTCCACCCGTTTCCACAGTTCGCGACGGCAAATAGAACTATCCGCTTCAACGTGCGCGCTCGCGCGCGAGGAGTCGGTAAACATACTTTTCCGCGACTCGACGAGGAATCGATTGTTGAGAGCGGTCGAAATGAATGGTTCGTGTATATCCGACGACATCTACTCCCGCATGTGTGGGATCGATGAGTCCGAATGTCGCGTGTACATTCATTATTCATTTTCAAGGCTCCCTCGCCGCTCCGCACTTGCTGACCAGAAACAAGAACTTTCGGTGTTCCAGATTTCTTTTACCGCAAAACACCGGTGGTTGCGGCCAGCCAGGAGCACTGAAAACTCGCAATTTAAACGCGCATTCCACTTCAAGCGCCAGCTCGGGACAAGAATATGCTTAAATATATTTGCCGGATCGCAGAGAAACTATAAACCCACGATCGTATCTAGCGTTTCGTATCAATAAAACAGAGTGGCTTGACATGTTTGTGTTTACGCTAAAAACAAGTGTAGCCTACTTTCAAGATGAATACATATAGCCAATATTTATCCACGTGTTAAGCGCACTTTAGATCGATATGCTGAAACTACTGTCGTGACAAATGGATTTAAAAATGCAGCTATGAACGTATTCCGCAGATATAAAGCTCTTTGATAATCTGTATTTTACGACAAGATAAAAGATTTTATTTATGTGCTGCATAATGCAGAAAATATTTGTAAAATACACATAAAATACATATTGTAATATTGTGCGATAAGCGTTATCAGTGTCTTTAGGAATTTTGTTTTAGATTTAGTGTCGGGTTTATTAACCAGCTAATGAGCTAATTGGACAGCTTTGAAATTTTTGACTATCATTTATAATGCGTAAATATATCCAAAGATTATACATTCTCCAAAAAATATTTACTTACACAGAGAAAATTTTATATCAAAAATTACTATGTACGCAATAGTAGCCGCGAACTATGAAGAAATTATAAAAATTTTTACTATGTTTTTCACATGTGAAACATAGTAAAAATTTTCGGTCCGCGTTAATGCCGTACATAGTAATTTTTGATATAAAATTTTTTCCGTGTAGAAACGTAAGATATTAAAGACGCTTAATATGCATATATCTGCATTTTAATTCAAATGTTTTACATATTACCAGGCACACACAAGTGCGTGCTACACGCGCGCTACTTATGATTTTAATTACAAAAAATATATATTATTTAAAAAAAAATACCTGCACTAAACTTCTCAAAATATAAACTGTCAAAGTATGCAACTTTTACAATGACAACTCGATACCTTAAATTCAAAACCTCGTAATTAAAAAAATCCAAATTTTACAAGAGATATTAAAAACTGTTTATTTATAATTATTCTGATTAATTTGGAATTTAAGATAATTTTAAGTTGTTAATGAATAAGTTTTTGGGATTATTTTTAAAAAATGTGGGAGTTTTTATATTAGTTTAATCATATGCGAGATTAGAATTGAAAAGACGATAAAGAATTGTTATCATGTATATTAGCTGAGCGTAAATATGACAAGCAAGAGGGCTTCTTACATAACATTCCGAAAGGCGACGTTCCGCGCGCTCGACACATATCATATAGATTATTTAAGACCAATCCCGAGTACTAGAAAAAATTATGTTTATTTGTTAGTCGATGCCTTTGCTAAATTTGTATTATGGTTATATTCTACACGATCGGTAACAACTGCGGAAGCAATATCGCGTTTAACTAAGCAAGCGGCAGTGTTTGGAAATCCGCGACGAATTATTAGCAACCGAGGTACTGCGTTTACATCCAATAATTTTAAACATTATTGCGACAACGAAAAAATCGAACATATTTTAGTAACGACTGGCGTGCCACGAAGTAACAGGCAGGTTGAGCGGATAAACAGAATTGTTATCCCATTATTTACTAAGCTTTCAGCACTACATCCTGAAAATTGGTATAAATATGTCGATAAAGTACAGCAGTTTATAAATTCTACGCCATCGAGAAGCGCGAGGTTAACTCCGTTTGAATTGTTAGGCCAAAATATGCGTTTGCGTGATGACACTGAGTTGAGAGAAATTATCGAAAAAGAAGTTGCAAATTTGCTGCAAGAGAAACGATCAGAGTTACGCGAACGAGCGAGAGAAGCTATTGAAAAGATCCAGCGCGAAAACCGCAATAATTATAATAAAAAGCGAAAAGCGGTAAATAAATATCAAATTGGCGAGCTAGTTGCAATTAAAAGAACACAAGTTACGCCAGGAAGTAAATTTTGCGCAAAGTTTCTGGGGCGTTGCGAAATTATTAAGATGTTGCGAGGCGACCGATATGTAGTATTGAAGGTCGGAGAGCATGAAAGATTGCGTACCACTAGTATACTTCAGCGGATCATATGAAAAGATGGTTATCGCCTGAATGTATAAGCGATGAGGAACTTAGCGATAATTACAATGACGACGAGGTTATCCATCATATCAGAGGCCGATGTGTAATCAGTATGGCCGAGTGTGGGAGTTTTTATATTCCTCTCATTTCGTATACGTATATATATATATATATATATATACAGGATGTTCCAGACTTGCCGTATCACCCGTTAATGGCAGATTCCTGAGGTCATTTGGAGACGAAAATCTTAATATCAAATGTCGAGGCTACTATAGTATTTGAATGGGAAAGGCTTAAAGTTTACCAATTAGAAATTATAGATGTATCAGGCTCTGATGATTGTTAAAATCAATAAATTTGATAGGAGCGTAAAGAGCCAACAGCCAGATATTCGTGCGAAGGTTATCGTGTATTAATTTATAACCATTGAACAATACATTAAAGAACAAACGTTTCAGCCTGTCATCAGGCCTTTATCAATGTTATTACAAAATTCAATAAATACGCAACGCAAAAATTAAATACAAAAAACGAAGTAAATTGACATAATTAACTGAAAAGTAGTTAAAACCACGTTAAAACTGTAATAAAAAAGAGCCAAATGAGAATGAGACCCTCCCCTCCATACTCCTTTTTCTTTCCGTCCCCCTTCTCCACCGCCCTCTCACTAATCTTTCATCGCTTGAATTTATCGTTATTCTATCACGTACATTGAGGTTTCAACCATCACATTATATGGTTCTAAGTTTTTTCTCCTACCTCGTTCCATCTTGTGTGGATGAGCTTTCTACTATTTTTAACACAAGTATGTAAAAATTGTTTCTTTTTTCTGTTTGCGCTCAATTTGTAACGGGAATTTTCTCATTTGGCTCTTTTTTATTACAGTTTTAACGTGGTTTTAACTACTTTTCAGTTAATTATGTCAATTTACTTCGTTTTTTGTATTTAATTTTTGCGTTGCGTATTTATTGAATTTTGTAATAACATTGATAAAGGCCTGATGACAGGCTGAAACGTTTGTTCTTTAATGTATTGTTCAATGGTTATAAATTAATACACGATAACCTTCGCACGAATATCTGGCTGTTGGCTCTTTACGCTTCTATCAAATTTATTTACCAATTAGCTTGTCTAATTAGAATTTCGCTCAGGGACATCATATCTCGAAAGGACCCTTGCACAACACTTTATTCAATACATTTTATTCACTTTATTTACTTTATTTACATTGTTCGCAATACTGACGAATTTACTAACGATAATAATTTCTAAATTGTATTAGTAAATTCGTCAGTATTGCAAACAATGTAAATAAAGTGAATAAAGTGAATAAGAACTGAGTGAAGTGAATAAAATATATTAAATAAAGTGTTGTGCAAGGGTCCTTTCGAGATGCGATGTCCCTGAACGCTCGAAATTCTGATTGAACAAGCTGATTGGTAAACTTTAAGCATTTCCCATTCAAATACTATAGTAGCCTCGACATTTTAGTATTAAGATTTTCGTCTCCAAATAACCTCAGGAATCTGCCATTAACGGGTAAAACGGTAAGTCTGGGACTCTGTATTCATCTTTATTATAATGTGTTGCTCTCCTTGTCGATGGCAGCGGCCGTTAAGGCTGCTGATAATGTTTTTTTTTAAACGAGAGCGAAGCGTTTTCGGCGTTTTCGGCGTTTTCGGCGCCTATAAAACGGATGTCTCGAGCAAGCGAGGACACATAGAGTCGAGCACGAACAAGTAAAACAGAGAATCGCCTGTGAGATAGCGGAAAGTGAAATAGATAAAGTATTGCGAGTCAAAGTGAGCGTTATACACAAGTTGAGCCCATTATATAATTTATTTTTTTCTTGTACTTTTTAGACTAAATTACAACTTTAATTCTTTAAAAGTGTGTGATCTCCGGCCTGCAAAAGATGTGCGTTGTTTGTTGCTTTGAGCTATCGATCAAAATTTATTCCCAAAACGATTATAAGTAAGAAAAAAGATGTTTGTCGCTTTGAGCTATCTAGCAGTTCGATATCTTAAATCCAATACCACGTATCTCGAATTTTTGATCAATTTCACTTTTTCTGTTATTATGATAGTATTTTAATTTTTTATGTATCAAATTTGTAGGGATAAATTGCAGGCCAGAGTTGTTTATCCCTACAGAAAAAGTGAAACTGATCAAAAATTCGAGATACGTGGTATTGGATTTAAGATATCGAACTGCTAGATAACTCAAAACAACAAACATCTTTTTTCTTACTTATAATCGTTTTGGGAATAAATTTTGATATAAATTCGCATAAGATGATATGCAAAATACTCACAGAACGCAAATTTATTAAAAGAAGATTGTCATTTGTTTGCTACGCAATGTGCAAGACATAAGGCAGCGAGTTTTGTGCGAGCAGTGGCGAGTTGTGTTTAAATGTGCAGTGCTTTTCGAAACGAACGAAATAAAAGAATTTTCCTCTAATCAGCATGATAATCAGATAAAAAATAATTAATCAAGAGAGTAGCGCTAAAGAATAGAATATTTTTTTTTGGATATAGAATAGTGTGGATCACAATTAAATAAATAAAACAAATTTTTCTTGACGATCTATAAATATATTCAAAGTGCTAATCATTAAAAATAATTCTTATTAAAAAATCACTTTTCAAGACAAGTATGGCATTATATGTTTCTTTTTCAGCATGCTTCTTTTAGCAGAAATATTGGTGCTTCTTTGCAAAATTCTCTATTACATCTGCGAGAGTGTATATAAATTATTTGCTCTAAAAAGAAAAAGTGTGGCTGGTGAAATTGTTCTGGTATGTACAAAATTCGCAATATACAATGTATAGCTGTAGACAAGATTAATTATCAATAGATACTGCAATAGGTAACAGGTGCGGGTCACGGTATAGGAAAAGAATTAGCAATCGGTTACGCCTTGTTAGGAGCCATAGTAATATGTTGGGACATCAATGAAGAAACCAACGAACAGACAAGGAATGAGATTAGAAAAATGGGAAAAAACTCTGTATATGCGTATCGGTTAGCTAATAATCTATGTTTCTTACAAATTCTGATAACGTAAAAAAATTCAGATAATTTGTCCGCGCACTAAGCTAAATATTCCATACTGATTAAAATATGGTCGCATTTTACAGATGCGATATAACAAACAGAGAAGAAGTCTCCAAGGTAGCTGAAAAAGTGAAAAAAGAAGTGGGCGACGTTACTATTTTAATCAATAACGCTGGCGTAGGAATAGTAAAAACACTTCTAAATTATAGCAACGATGAAATTACGCGAAAGATAAATACGAATCTTACTGCGCATTATTGGGTAAGTGACCTATCTCGTATATCTATTTAGAAACTATAAAATATGTAAAATAATTATTAATGCGCTTTATATTATCATATGCTTGAAAACAAATAGCTAAATTAATTCGTAATTGAAGTACATATTGAAAGCTTAACAGAAATTATAATAAGCTATTGCTATTATTCAATAGAAAATTATTTTCAGACATTGCGTGCATTTTTACCAAACATGATTGAAAAGAATCATGGTCATGTCGTTGCGGTTTCATCACTATTAGCAATTGTAACATCAATGTATATGACAGTTTACTCTCCTACAAAATCCGCAGTCAGAGGTAATTGAACTCATATTAAAAAATTATAATCTTTCGTATAATAATTTAATAAATATTTGAAATAATTTATAATTATCCCAGCAACGCTCTAATCAACAATAACATAACATAATTTCCTACTCAACAACGTTACTGCAATGTAACATGTTTTGCAAGTAACTATATTACCGCTAGTGTTGATAACATCCTCACTTGTGATATGTATATTTCAGCACTTATGGAGAGTCTTGATGAAGAATTGCGTTTATCTAGTAAGGGAAAATCTTTAATTAAATTCACTACAGTTTTCCCAACTGTAGTGTTTAACGGAATGTTCAGAAAGCCAAATATGAGGTAAGATTTTAACAATGTTATAATAAATACTTTACAATGGCCAGAACAATATCATAAATTCTTTTTAATTGAATTATATTTAACTATATTTTTGTCAATATAGATTTCCCAGTTTAGCAAACCCACTATTACCAAAAGAAGCTGCTTCACTAATAATCGATGCGCAAAGACGAAATTGCAGGGAAAGGGGTATACCTTCTCATTTGCTGCCATTAATAACGACATTAAGGTATGTAAACAGCGTAAATGACAATTCAACCAGTATATATATTAATAATCATAATATTTGCAAATAAAATATTGCAAAAGACGATAAAGCGTAAAAAAATGCCGTCCTTTTGCATTTTTATTTATTAACACAAATGCAGATATCATGCAACTAATACATATTGTAAAATTATTATTCTTATATTCACATTTTCTATATATGTATAATAAAAATATTATTTTTGTGATAGAAATCTTCCGGATAAGGCACAAGAATGCGTAAAAGATTTCGTTGATATGAGTATCGAGCCAGATAATTAAAAAATAAAAAAAACCTTGCCATGTGCAATTTGCTATTATATTGGAAATATAAAAAATGTGTGTATTTTTTTTAATACCCATGTAATTTTATACTTTGTTTTATATTTGCGGAATACGTTCGTATCTGAAATTCAAAATCCATCTTTTGCGACGATAGTTCCATGTATATCGCGGCTTAATTAGCCGCGTATTCATTATCGGTTATCAAAAGAATCACGTCATTAGATGAACGCTTTTTATCGGATGTTTGCTATGTTTATCAATAGCATAGTGCTTCCAGTTATACAGTATTAATTCAGGCTAAATTATCAATACGGGTGTGTCGATGCGTTACGCTGTTTTTTCCGCGTCACTTTAAACAGACTTCGCGAGCTAGTTCTTGCGCGACATAATGAATTAATTTCCGGTTGAGTTTTTTCTCTTCGTCTCATTATTATTGCGAGATCAAATCGCTGAATTGGCGCGACAACTGTGTCGGCGTTTCCTCGAAGGACTCGCGACAATGAAGCGCCAAGGACGACTTCTGCGTCGTTTCTCTTGGCAATAATTTTACTACAAATGTACGGCGAAAAAAGTCACTCATGCCGACTCGACGTCAAGCTTGAATAGCATTGAAAGCGTCGCGGTTGAGCGAGTTTGAACTCTTTCAAAAAACGCCAATAACAAAGTATAATTGCATAAATGCTGCATCCGCGCATTCACAAGGATATTTCGCAACACATAATTCACCTATTCTTTTTATTACTTGAAAACATTGAAAAATTTTACATAATTAAATAATAAAAACGTAAAGATGTATTTCTTAATTCTTAATTGATTATCATCTTATTTTTTTTAAATACTATTATAGTATACATTAAACTGTTATTTTCTTTTATTTCCTAGATAAAAAATTTTTTATAGCCATCATCGTTATACTTGAATAGTAAAACAATATGTATAAAATTAACAATAAATACAAAAAAAATTTACTTTTTATAAATTTAAATTCAGAAACTTTCTTGATAAAAAAAAATTGTTAAATATAAACAACCAAAAAAGACTTTTTAATAAACAAATCTAGATGGTCCGGCAGAGACCAATTAATACAAAAAAATTTGAATTGAATTGAACGAACCAAGCGCATCTGACGCCATCAATGTACTCAATTGTACACACCGAGAAGTTTACGAATCGCGAGAGCGAACGTGCCGATATTCTTGGCAACCAGCGCGACTGAGACGATAAAAGATCGGGCGATGCTGCTTGATTTATCGCTTTATCAGCGCGCTCTTTCCGTGGCGCCGAGATAGAGCGCGGAAGGCGTGCACGGAAAAACGAGCATCTCAAACGATGATCCGTATATATCGTCGCTGATGCGTGGCAATTAATCTCGGGGTGCCCGGCAAGATGCAACCGGCGAGATTAATGGAGCACGGACGCGCTTCTTCCTCGTAATCAGCCACTCGCGAACTTTGGCAATAATCAGACTTCGAATCTAGCCGCGAGGAATTCCCCGAAGGAAGGTCGCAGATAACTTTTGCACAAGATATCGAGTATACACGCGATAGATATCGGCTACGGAGACAACATTGATTCTGATCTTTTTCTAGCGAGTTACAGCATCGATATTTCATCTCGAGTGACCCTGAAATTGCCTGGCTTCGCTAATTAATTTTTCTACGTCGACATCGCGCGATAATTGCTGTTACGGTATTCAGCCATCGCTGCTGTTATTGCATCATTCGCAATGAAATCGATAACAATTCTATTTATACAACAGAATTTGAATCAACATTTATATATGTAAACTTTCCATTTACAAAACGGGTTGAATCAACGGTTTGTACACTAAAAAACTTTAGTATTTAAATTTTCATTACATTTGTTTCGATAAAACCAATACATTTATAAGTTTAAAATTTTATTGGCAACTATTTCAATTCACCATTCTATGGGTAATCTAAAACCATGTGAATTTTTAATAAGTTTGACTGACAACGAGTGACTGAGAGTTTTATGTAAACATTGAAACTCATCTCAAAGTCTCTTTTAGAACGATGCCGTGCTATCGAGTCTCCTTTGAGAGAAACAGCTGCGGCTCATCATAAAGGCAGATCAAATTTACGAGTAATCGATAGTATCCGGAATATTGTCCGCGAAGGAATTGACTCTGCGCCAAATAATAAATCTTCGCGTCAAAATTTCCGATAATGGCACCCCATCGCTCCGATCATGATAATAAATGTCCGTTATCGTCCACCGTTCTGCTCGTCCGTGAGAACAGTTAATATAATTCGCATCAGATCGCGAAGGTTAGAGCATAAATTCTTTTTTATAATCATCTTATTACTATAGTTGACGATGACCATAAAAATATCGGCGAAAGAAACACGAAAAAGCAAGCATTATTATATCTATTAAATATAGCACATTCAACTCTGCCAACTTTTACGTACTTTTGTAATAGCGAAGTGAGAATATCATTGTGTAATAGAACATGCGAAAACGAGTTATAAAACAAATTAATATCAATAAATTTCTCGTTTCTTTTTTTTAAAAGTAGAAAAAGTGTCTTTAAATAAAAAAAGTGTAAAAAAAGATTTCAGACAAATATTACATAATTCTATTTTTAGAAAATATAAATTATTCTTCTATTATTCTGTGCTTAATTTTTCAATCATGTTTTTTAAACATATTAATTACAAAAGTCTTGAAATTTTAATCCTAAGATTTTCAAGATTATGTAATTAATAATCGTACTTCAAATATATATACATTTTTAAAAATAAAATTATAAATTGCGCAATCCGGCTGAACTTTTTTCACATATTTTATTTAATATCTCTTTTTATTTTGAAAAGTGAAACAAGAAATTTGTTAATTAATTTTTCAGCGTTTTTGCTCGCTTTCACTGTCATACTACATTATTCACATTTTGCTATAAGACTTTTTCTAAAGTTATATAATTAGCAGTTTTGCAAATATTAATTTTTCATATTTATAGATGAATTTTTTGCGAAAAATGCTTTTTAAAGAAAATTGCAACGCGCTCTCATGGTCGGACATTAACAGAGATAACGTCCGTTAATATCGTGTTATCGCGATTTACACGGATTCTTCAACATTGATTACATGGCGCATCACGTTTTCTGCAATATCCGTAATAACGTATAACGCAATTTCCATGCATCTCATATCACTGCGCAAATTCTACGCGAGTATGAGAGATTTATTATTTAATTTGTCGTGAATAAATTCACACAGCTCACGTCAAAGATTTATCAAGTTGCGCGGAAACTCGTGCGGAATTAAACTACATACATCGTGTGAAATAATGCGTCATTACGATGCTTAATGGCAATCAATGAAACAATTTACGCAACAGTGAGAAAAAAAGGGATTGTCGCACTAATACATAATCTGTGTCAAGCGTGTGCACGTATATACTTTTACAACTACTGTCACAAAGACACTCGATCTACGTGGCACGCATTGCGAGCAGATTTTTGCGCAACTGTCAATGCAGCCTTGAAGAGCATTCTATTTCAAAGCATTACGTATCCAGAAATTGCTGCATATTAATTGACGATTTCTCATTTCAAGTTTCGATTATCTCCACGTTTCAAAATATATTAATATACAACATAATTAAAGTATCAGAAGCAAAGAGATACAGAATTTTGAGGAAAAAAATGCGCGAACATTCTTCAAACGTGCTCAATTTTTTAAAATCTCATTTACATCCCTTTTCATTTGATCTGCTCAGGTATAACGAATTGTTTTCTACTTTTAATACTCGCAATTCCCTGATTACGTTGCTTCTATTCAAGCGTTTTATTCTGCGCACAAAATGCAGTAGTTTGCATTCTTAATGAATCAAAAAAGGGATTGTCAATTTTTTCCGGTGACACTGGCAACTCGGCTGGAGTCACAACTGTCGCGTTAATTGAAATACCGCGGCGGCATCCCGCGGATTGTCGTCGAGTGTCTGATGCAGCACTTACCTTTCTTCCTAAAGAGCGGGCGATACTGCGCGAGGCCGATCTCGGTGAGCCACTGATCCGCCTCCGTGAGTTCCCCATTGCTCCCGGTACCCGCTGCGAGCATCAGCAGCTTTCCCAGAGAGAGAACCATGGAAAGAGCCAAGAACACCCCGGACAGCACCGTCGACCATCGTGCCATTGCCCGTGCAGTGCATCTGCAACCGAAAGAAATGATCGATTAGTCTGGAGTCGAGATTTCCAGGAATACTGAATGAAAACGATAAAGCGTCGATCCCTTTATTGACGAACGAGTCCGGCTAGCACCGCGTGCTTTACGTCAAAACTGACAGGTTATGTGCGTTCGAGATTGGAGGTTAGGTGCGCTACGGTGTTTGTAAACAAGCCGGACGCCGGCCGATCAGCTGATCGCGTCGCTGATCGGGCTCGCTTTCGACGGAGAAAATCGGCTTACCACATCTTCGCGCGGGGCTGCCGTTGTTCTCGCGCGCCACACGCAGCCTCCGATAAAAACCGTGTCCTCGCGCAGCTTTTCACGCCGGAACGACAACGCACGCAGCGGAACGCCGTCGCAGGGCACTGCAGATGGAGCGACAGGTGGAGAAATGCGATAAAGCTTCTAGGGAATTTTTCAAATCGAACTACACGAACGACGAGCGCCAAATCCGTCGTGGAATATTAATTCCAATGTTCAATTTTACTTTTATTTACTTCTCCATCTCTTTGTTTTCTTTCACTTATACTTCTGTTTAATTTTCTCTCCCTTTTTCTTCTGTAACATTCTGCTTTGGCTGTGTTACATATTTGCGTGAATTTAATATGTTAACATGATGAAAAAACTTGAAAACTATCGTGGTATGTTATGAATAAAATTATTTGTCTTCAAAATGTATTACACAATTAAAAGATACATAATTAATATGCAACGTAATTAAGTGAGAAGCGAAGAAATACAACTATTTTTGTATAGAAATTTATATTAACACGTTAAAAAAACCTAAAAATCTTGTAATATATCCTAAAAAATATTT